ATTATTGCAACTGTAATTAAGTTTCGGATCACATAATTTTTCAGATAGTGATGTTTTTTGCACAACAGTAAAGACGAAGTAATGTACCTGACACTGACTGAAGAGGTAAGGATGCTTGCGACCAGCCGTCTGCTCAGGAGATAGCCATTGTAGAGCAAAGGCATCAGGGTCAGTCTCATACTTCACTAATATGTCCACTCTGAAATTGGTCATTACTTCGAATAAATAATAAAAAAACTAACTAAAATCAATAAAAATCTTTAAAAACAAACCTACAAAATAATGCAAATTTATTTGGGCACATTATTGAAAAAAAGAATATTATTTAACATGGTTTCTTAATATAATTACTTCTCAAACTCAACAGGAAATGTATTTTTTGTTTTCACAGTGAAAGTATAAAAAACATAGTAATTATTCTCAGCAGACGATAATAAAAATTTGATTGAATTACATTAAAGGAAACACTTTGTTACTAGGTTTTGGTACTTGTTTTAATTTTGTTTGAAAAATTGTGGGAAACAAAACTGTACAAAACACCTCCACAATTTTATTTAAGATCATTTTATAATCTTCAGTTCCTCACTTAACTACAATATAAGCTAAAAATAAGTTATAAAAATATTAGGCTGAGCAAACATTAAGAAAACGAACACAATTGATAATTTGTAAGTGTACATGTGATAGATATTGTTGATATGATTTAAGATTAGTTGAAGAACTCTGAAAAATCGTCGTAAAAATTCAAGATTATATCATGAGTAGTTCCATAAATCTTTGTCTGCTTTTTAGGAGACACTAATGGCTCTGTTTAAAACAGTAAAAGAAATCTCGACTAATAAGATTTGAAATCCCCTGGCTACATTTAAAACTGTGATATCTAGGTTATCATACCAAGACTCTACCTATAGAAAATTACAGAGTACTACTCCAGTAATAATGTATAACCACTGTGTGTTAATGGTTCATAAATACATGAGTTGGTTATTGTAAAGATAGAATCACTCTTTCGACAAGAAAGATGCAACTTATTTGCTCCTCTTTAAATAGTCTAGTAATCATGCTCTCACTCTCTCTCTGTCACTATTGAGGTACTGTATATGCGTTGTTAGACCGTCCAACTGTGGAGAGACTACTGTATCTACGAGGGCTATTCAGAAAGTATGGAACGTTTCGTTCTGGTGCCGCTAGGCGTGCGCCAATCTCCTAAATGACAACTAAATTATATCATTTTAAGTATCTGGTCACATCACTACACTGTATTCCAATGTCAATTTTTATGCGATATGTAAGTTTAGGGGCAGGTGGTGCTTATTTTCTTAGGGGTAAACCTTTTTGACATTTTGGAACAAACAACTTTATGTTACACTGGCATTAAAATAAAATTTTAAAGGAGTAGGAGAAGTACCAATGACAAACAACACTTTTTCTTGGAAAATAAAATTATTTAATACACACAAGAGACAAAGGCGCAATGGAAGGAAAAGAATATCTAGATGACACACCATCCTGGTGAGCAAATGTCCATCTTAGGGGTCATTTAGTTAGCTTAGTTAGTTATAAACACTGATATTTTTGTGCAGTTACTAGAGTAAATGATCTGATGAGAGTCAATAAAATGTTACCACAATGTAAGGTTTCTGTGCTTTCCATTCTAATTTGTTCTTTAATGTTGCATTCTTTTTGTTTGAATAAATAGTTTTTGGAAAACAAGTCCAGAGTAAAAAATATAGGAAGGTAGAAAAAATACATTTCAGCTTAGTCTTGCACAAATAATGACAGTATATTTCCTTTAAACACAATACTGATCATCGATTTATTTAAAATATATTTGAGTTTGGCAAAACATAGACAGAAAGGTTATTAAAGATTTTGTGTGTTCATGACAGTAAATTTAAAACTGACAGTATACTTTACACATCTAAACATACCACTTACACCAACGATAACAAAGAAATACTTCACTTACAACGCTAAATAAGGAACTTGAGGAACAAGGAGGAACTTGAGGAACAAGGAGGAACTTGAGGAACAAGGAGAAAAGCAAAGGAAACCAATTATGGATTTAACACCAATCAAAAAAAGAAAGAATAGACAATAATATGTGGATGGAGTAAGTATACACTTAAGGAAGAAAAAAACAAAAGAGGACCATCTAACAAAATAAGGGAGAGGAGAAAGAATACAATTGTGAACAAGATTGGTGATCATCTGAGTCAACTAGGGATATCATAAATAGAATATTTAATTAAAACCCTTCAATTACAAACCAAAAGGGGGGAAATATTCTCAGACCTCCTTTGAATCTTGAAGGAAAACACCTTATCAGAGAGGTTAAGAAGTTACCAGTAAGACATGTAAGGATTAAAGCCAGACAAATCTTTTGAAACAGATGCAAACAGAGCATGAGAAAAACTAAGCAAAACTCTGGAAGGTGTAGGATGTCTTATTTATTATTGGCCTGGGAAGAAAAGTTATCACAGCACAGGGGCTTAGGTAAGCCATTGTATAGCTCTAACAGCAACATGGAGTTCTTGAAACTAGAAAAAATAAAGAACGGCTGGGTGATTGTAGAATAAGGCCAGTGGGCAGACAATGCATTAGTTGGCTGGGTTTTGGGTTTGGAGCCAGCAAAGAAAGGTACTTGAACCAATACTAATAATTTCAATAGCAAACAATAAATCCTCTGATAGCAGATAGCAGTTGACTTATTTATGTTAATTATTTATGTATAGTAAACAAAATATTTTTCCTACAGTCACCCGACAAAGTTTGCTTCCTTGTACTGTTTATAGCACAGAAAGCTGCTAATTGCTGCATATTTAGACTTTGTCGTACGGTTTATACTTTGGCGCACATCAGGATTCCAACGAAACAACACAAAACAGCGTGGTTTTATTATGCACGTACTCCGTGTACGCTTAGAAATAGGTTGGCAACACTTAAAGATAATAATACTATGAGCAGCTGATTGACTATTATAACTACTATTTAACCTGTCATTTTGTTTTTATAGTTTCGGTATTTCTGAACTTTCTGGACTTTTCTTTTAAACGTTTTTAAAACATTCCTACGATCTTAATAAACAAGAAAATACCTTTAAAGCATTTTTTTTAGGCGCGGAAACCACTTCAAATTACAAAAACATACGGAACTAATTTTTCAAGTCGCTAACCACATTGCTTGCCGAGGAAAAAATAGCGGAGTGATACGGACTACTTTCTCTAGGGCACCTATTTATGTTGCCAGCTGAACCTAAAAACGTGTTGTATAGTGTTTGAAAGACTAATTATTTATATGCTTTATAGTGACTGTAGGAAAAATATAATGTGTAACACGAGTGCAAAAGGCCTTTGCTGCACTCGAGATCATTCCGCACGAGCCACAGGCGAGTAAACATTGCTCTCGTGTGCAGCAAAGTGCCACTTTGCTCACTAGTTACACAAATAACTATTGCTTAAATTTATACAAATTTGCTTATTTCCAATTGAATGAAACAGCACTTAACGCTGGAAAGGGAGCCAAACCAGTTATATGTCGACCTTCTGCTAAATCTGGCTACTTGATACAGCTGGAAAGATATAGTATTGAGAAAAAGCCTTGTAAGGACACCTGCTGGTCCTAAAGCACTTAACGCTGGAAAGGGAGCCAAACCAGTTATATGTCGACCTTCTGCTAAATCTGGCTACTTGATACAGCTGGAAAGATATAGTATTGAGAAAAAGCCTTGTAAGGACACCTGCTGGTCCTAAACCAGTACGGCTTTAAGGGAAAGAAATTATCTAAATGGTATGACAGATTATAAGTACAGAAAGGGAAGCAAAAGAAATGTGTTGAGAGTAGGGATGGACGGGTCCCGAAATTTCGGGAATTTTTCGGGAAAAAAATATTCCCGATTATCGGGACGGGATTACATTTGACTCGGGAATTTTTCGGGACGGGATTTGGTCCGATCGTCGGCGATTTTTCCGCTTCGCGAGTGCCGATATCGCCGTTATTGCGAGCGATAGGTCCGCGAACGCAGGAGACGAAGTCATACCGACGATCGCGCCGTGACCGCGGAGTCCTACCGACGATCGCGCCGTGACCGCGAGTCATACTGACGATCGCGCCGTGACCGCGAGTCATGACGACGATCGCGCCGTGACCGCGGAGTCATGCTGACGATCGAGCCGTGATCGCGAGTCATACCGACGATCGCGCCGTGACCGCAAGTCATACCGACGATCATGCCGTGACCGCGAGTCATGACGACGATCGCGCCGTGACCGCGGAGTCATTCTGACGATCGAGCCGTGATCGCGAGTCATACCGACGATCGCGCCGTGACCGCGAGTCATACCGACGATAACCCCGTGACCGCGGAGTCCTACCGACGATCGCGCCGTGACCGCGAGTCAAACCGACGATCGCGCTGTGACCGCGAGTCATACCGACGATCGCGCCGTGACCGCGAGTCATGACGACGATCGCGCCGTAACCGCGGAGTCATGCTGACGATCGAGCCGTGTTCGCGAGTCATACCGACGATCATGCCGTGACCGCGAGTCATACCGACGATAACCCCGTGACCGCGGAGTCATACCGACGATCGCGCCGTGACCGCGGAGTCCTACCAACGATCGCGCCGTGACCGCGAGTCATGACGACGATCGCGTCGTGACCGCGAGTCATACCGACGATCGCGCCGTGATCGCGAATCATGACGACGATCTCGCCGTGACCGTGAGTCATACAGACGATCACCCCGTGACCCGCGAGTCACAAGTTACTATAGGTACCTGTAAATTGTTACCCATTTTTTGGTTTTTATAGATCAGTGCCACAAATAGTAAAAATTGATTTTGTATGTCTTTTTTTGGTAACTGCAATACAGTACTTTCTTTTTATGCACAGAAAAAAATCCCGTCCCGTCCCGTCCCGAAAATCGGGAAGGAAATAAAAATCCCGTCCCGTCCCGTCCCGAACTAAAAATTCAATCCCGTCCATCCCTAGTTGAGAGTGTAGAGTTTTTTTATGTACACTCTTTTCAATAGACATACATTATGTTTCAACTTACACCAATTCACAACATTAAGGGAGGGGGTAGAGAAGCGACAGTTCTCAATAGTTAGTAGATATGTACAATAGGCTAAGCAAATTTCCAGTTTTAATAAATTTTAATACATTTTCGTACAAACAAATTCAATCATAATATGCCAAAATTTACACTTCAATCCTCCAGGCCCAAAATATTATTAGCACAATGATAATTTGATTGGACTGATGCAAAGAAGAAATAAAATTGATATTTTGTTTCTTAAAACCTACACAATAAAATCTTCCAAATTTGAGGATTAATAAAAAATAAACGGTATCAACAATCTGACACATACTTTCTCCCATAAGCTTGTCAACAACCTTTATCATTGACATGGATAAGCGGTGGGAATAACTATGATATTTTATGGGGAAAATCACCAAAATTGCAATATAACTTAAGCATAATTTTTACAGCAATGGGTTGCACTATTTAGTTAGGAATGATAAGGATCATAAAACATCAATTTTAAACAAAACTATCTTTTTGACTAAAATCCAATATTCTCATTTTATAGTTTTTTTAATGGGAAAATAACACAAGTTACAATAACTTTTTAACCTTAATTTTGACGGAAATAGGATTTGTATCATTTTGTTCAGGATTTAAAGGACTAAACTTCTCCTTTACAGTGATATAAGACAATGCTTTAAAGGAAAATGTATTATGTCCTCTAGTCTAGTTAAGTGTAAGCTAAATAACATTACCAATGAATTTGATGTATTGAGGTCTGTTATTGAACAAAATGATAAAATGATTGCTAAGCTTAACTTAACACAAACAGACATCACTTTAAAAACCACTTTTTTGGCTTCATGGGGGCCCAAAACGCATACATCCACTCAAAACTCAACTCAAAAATTTGGACGAAAACAATACTTTCTCCTTTTACTATGGTATAGCAGAAAGTAAAACTTTATCAATTTACTCTTCAAAAATATAACCTAATACAGAATAAAAATGTAATTATTTATTTACTTTTTTCACTTCAATTACAATTTTTTATTTAAATTTAATTTCAAAAACACATTTTGGAATTTTTAATGTTTTGACAAATTCCAAAAGACTAACTTCTTGGAAGCAAATTTATTTTCATAGTCATATAAATCTATTTTAGTTAACTTTAACTAGATATATCAGTCTGTTTTATCTAGCCTAGACACACATAACAAATAACACTTTAGGCTTCTAAGGACACTACAAAAGTTATAGTGGACAGTGGACACAGACATATTTCAATTAAGTTTAAGGTATTAAAAACTTCCCTTTGGGAAAATTTGTTTAGTATCCTATCCATGGCCACAGACATGGTACTAAAAGGTGATCCCATGGCCAGAATGTACAGGACGAGGAGTTACTTTAAGTGGGTCGCCAATGAGGAGGCATAACCACCTAGCCTGCCTTATACAGACTGAGTAAAAGAAAATATCTAATAAATACATCACAATAGACATCACAACCACAAGGAATAAGTTATCATACAAATTATTAAAACAACTAACTACTTAGGAACATAACAAGTTATTATTGAACATAGAAAAGGATTTCAAGGATTGAGGAAAATGTTGTCCATATTCTCCAGATTTTTTTTATGTGCAGGTGTTGTTGAACAAGTCATGTTTCCAGAACAGGATGAATCAGTGAATGAAGGAGTGCCTTCAGACCAAGAGGAATTGGATCGATTTATTGACTCCCAGACTACTTGTCTACTTGTGCTAGTCAGTAATGATTCAACTCCTGATGTTGATGAACTTGATTCTAGACTAAGTGAAATTTTGCTCTCAGACCATTCTTCTAGTTTGGAATCAGATACACTTATAGAGTCTATTTGTTGTTCTTCACTGCATCTAGTGGCATTTACCCTGACAAACTTTTCCTGACGAGATATTGGGTTAATAAGGTCATGCGAGCTTTGATTGGCCTTAGAAGCTTCAAAGATTGAAGGAGGGATGGTAGGATTTGCTGGATGTGAACCTATAGACTTATTGCCTTCATCACTATTTTGTGGTTTAATTCTCAATGTTGTTTTCCTCCTTGAAAGAGAATGTTTCATTGATGAAGGAATTCTCTTAAACACTGTGTTAGCCATAAAGTGCTGGAACCTCTCGGAATAAAATCCTGGCCTGTGAACTGAAATTGTATCTCCGTCATGCAGAAGTGACTTCCAAGCATGTTCTAATTTCTTCTTTAATCTGTAACTTTGTAAAATGTCAATGATGCCAATGAACAACAATAATCTTTCACGTTTCATGTTCCTAGCTGGTATCCCTCCAGCAGGAACATCTTCCTCATCATCTCCTGGTTTGCTTTTGGCCTGGATGCTCTCCATAGCAGTGGAATGTGCCATTAGACGCTGTCTGTTAGTTGACTTGGATCTTGTTGCAGTGGATGAGCTTGTGCCATTCAAATCGCCACCAGCTCCAGATTCTGATACTTCTCCTGAAGCTTGCTCTTCTACTGAGGCCTCAGCTTTTTCTCTCGCGGCTTGGTCCAAGTTATGAATACCAATTAGTAGACTGTAATCCATTATTTGGAAACTTTCTAAAACCCTACAATCCCGCTGTATTGTCTTGATAAGAGCAGTGTGAGTTACTGCTTCAAGAAACAACCCCTCAGGGTGGTGTTCCATAAAATCTAAATCCTTAAAAGTCGGAGAGTTTTTCTTTCTTTCAGGTTCTGAAGCTTTTCTTTTAAACGTCGAACCTTTCAAGTCATATTTTTGATGAATTTTAATAGCAGATGGTAGCAAGTTGTTCATTGCGACAATCCTGATATTCTTAGAATTATAGTGATAACAATACAGACCAAAAAACTTAGGTAAAAGAGTACGAGGATTTTGATTTAAATTTAGATAGTATCCGGGAAGAAGTTTTTGTAAGAATTGACCTTCTTTGTGTTGTACTGTTTTTATTATAAATTCGTCATCCTCAGTCAAATAGAAAATAGAGCCACTAGCACCAGGATTTGATAGTTCTCTCAAAGGAACACTACAAAAAGACATTAAAAAATCTTCTGTTTGGATTCCAAAAAGATCACGAAAGTATCTGAATGCAACTGGAGCGTATGTCTTGAACACAAACTCTGTGTAGCGATGGGCTTGAGTTAGGTTGCTTCCTTCAGGGGGGAAAGTAGTGGCCTCCACAGTCATGAAGTCTTGCATGAGCAAGTCCCTTTCTGGTGTAGAAGCCAGACCCCCCACAGCATGCTGTATCCCTAGTTGAATAGAGCCCATAATCTGCGAGGTGTGAATCTTCTTATATGTCACTTCCCCACCCATCCCCACTCTTCGATGTCCAAGTTTCTTCTCCTTCTCAGATCTGCTCCTGGACAGGCCTGGAGATGACGCCCCATTGTCTATTGGCGACAGTGAACCGTCCATTTTGTCTTTGCTGCTTTCTTCACCACCTGTTTGAAACAGTAACCTGGTACTTCTTAGAACTTACAATCTCGTAAACTATGAATAACAATCACAGTTTTTGTCATGCATGCTTTAAAGTCTATGTTACTTTTTCTGTTTTCTGCCAAATAAATTTCCTGAGGTCAACTCCATTAATAAGATTTGATTTTTGGCCCGAATAAGATATATAATTTTATAGATAAATTTCTTTAAAGTTGAATTGAAAATTGATGAGAATTGTCAGTAATAATTTGTGTGTTTTGTAGCTCATTGTGTGTGTTAGTCACTGGTTAGTATGATGTAATGTTTTTCTATCAAAAATTTAACAAATTACGGTTCAAAGTGGTATGGCACAAAAAAAATGTGTATTATTTTATAACATCAAATAAAATCATCCAATTTTTAAGACTTCATATATTTTATATATACTTTATAATATCAAGAGACAATTATTTTTAAACTAAATATGTGTTAGAACAGTGCTCAATTGCCACCCACCAAGCAATTACCACTTCCAGCAATTTACAGTACAAAATCCCTAAAGAGGACTTATTCAACAAAGGCTACAAGAACCTTGGAGGAATTTGGTGTGATTGATTTCAGAGAATTTGTTTTATGAAGATATCAATAAGTTATATAAGCCCTTTCCACTTGTATGTCACAGTGTCCGCAATATTCCGTTCTGCCTGTTCTACTCGTATGTTGCTGCCTCCGCGGCATCAGTGTTATTGACTCCAAAACAAAGTTTTTGTACGTATGATATTTTTTATGTAATTGTCATAATTAACACATCGAATATAATCAACAATAATAAGAATATCATTTTGATTTTTTGAGATCGTATTAAAAAAAACAATATAATGATTTATTCAGCTGTGAACTTGGCTCGTGTATGCATTCATAGAACTATTGTGTTATGTGTGTCGTCTGCCAAGGCTGCATCTGTGTTTGTGACGTACAATGTCAGTAAATTAGTTGAACTAAATAAATTGTATATTTAATTATTTATCTTGGTTTCCTTTAGGTAAAGTGGATGGATAATAGTATATTACGTTACTCGTCCTGAAAATAAGTGTTTACCGGACGAGTGTAGCCGTTCCTGTGCGAGACGAAGTCGGGTACGGGATTACCATACGAGTCCGGTAAATACATTTTGGACGAGTGACGTACGATAGTTTACGCCATACTACTAAATCCGTTCAAATCTTTATATATTACCACCAACTAAAGGACAAAAAATCACTAGTCATAACCTCTATAGAGGTTATGTTTTTGTTATAACCACCAAATACAGTATAATCAGCTGATTGGTTTCTGGTAAAACTCATTACAGTACAGTAGTACGCAATGAAACCCCATTTGATTAGGCTGGAGGCAAACATCTATTTTCTGGACTAAATCCTTGCATGGGAAGTTTGTCAAAATAGTGTAGTGTGCCGTAAAAGTGATTTTTTATCCTAAAGACATACTAACTTTTTTACAAATGTGCAATCAACAACACTTCAATATAGTAAATTTGTTTATTTTAGCTCTACAAAATGGTTTGGAAAGAAATAGCAAAATTTTATGTTTTTAGGGTAAAAACTGGGGAAACCGGCCCCCCATAAACCCCCGTTCCCATAGTTCGATCATGCTGGTTTGCAAACTCGTTTGAATAAATAAAGGTTTAAACGTTTATACCAAATTTCATTAAAATTGGATCATTTATGCTCAAGTTATCGTGCTAACGGACACATATAAATGTATTGTATATATGTATTCATATACAAATATGAATTTGAACGGATGATATTTATGACCTCTGGGGACCTCAAAACAAAAAATTAAATCAGTCCTGGGTCCAGGTCTTTTCATGAGACCTACGGTTATAGCTTATTCTCTATATGAGAAATTCACTAACAAGAGAAAACTATTAAATTGAAAAAAATATATACTAAGATCATGAGTGACCAAAACACACAGACAATACAAAAGATACAAATAATATAAAAGCAATGAATATTGATACAAGACTGTTTTGAGTGTTTTCTGGTCTAAAACACAGGTAGATTTGTCTCCTTGCATTATCTAGAGTAGGGATGGACGGGATTGAATTTTTAGTTCGGGACGGGACGGGATTTTTATTTCCTTCCCAATTTTCGGGACGGGATTTTTTTTCTATGCATAAAAAGAAAGTACTGTATTGCAGTTACCAAAAAAAGACATACGAAATCAATTTTCACCATTTGTGGCACTTTTTAATTCAATTCAATTATTTAAGATGGGGACGCCACTATGTGCGTATTTTAACCCAAATATGAGTGAAGGATGAGTGTAGGATGAGTGGCGCGATCTTGTAGTCTTGTTAGTGACTAAGGCCGACATGTTCCTTAGACACAGCTGTTAATTAATAGCCCATACAGCTAATGGCAACTAAGGGACCTACAGTTTATAGTGGAATCCGAACCACATTTTTCCTTGTAATTTACGAATTGGTCTAATTATCAGGATAATACTGCGGATAGTCGTAGTACTCACTAGTGCGGACGTTAATCCACACCAGGGAGCATCGCATCCACAGTGCATCCCTATAAATATCCACAATTCGTGACCTCCCAGTAGCTGGATTACAGGACGACGCCACCCGTCCCAGTCTGATCTATAAAAACCAAAAAATGGGTAACAATTTACAGGTACCTATAGTAACTTGTGACTCGCGGTCACGGCGCGATCGTCGGGTAGGACTCCGCGGTCACGGCGCGATCGTCGGGTAGGACTCCGCGGTCACGGCGCGATCGTCGTCATGACTCGTGGTCACGGCGTGATCGTCGTCATGACTCGCGGTCACGGCGCGATCGTCGTCATGACTCGCGGTCACGGCGCGATTGTCGGGTAGGACTCGCGATCACGGCTCGATCGTCGGTATGACTCCGCGGTCACGGGGTTATCGTCAATATGACTCGCGGTCACGGCATGATCGTCGGTATGACTCGCGGTCACGGCACGATCGTCGGGTAGGACTCCGCGGTCACGGCGCGATCGTCGGTATGACTCCGCGGTCACGGGGTTATCGTCAATATGACTCGCGGTCACGGCGCGATCGTCGGTATGACTCGCGGTCACGGCGCGATCATCGGTATGACTCGCGGTCACGGTGCGATCGTCGGTATGACTCGCGGTCACGGCGCGATCGTCGGTATGACTCCGCGGTCACGGGGTTATCGTCGGTATGACTCGCGGTCACGGCATTATCGTCGGTATGACTCGCGATCACTGCTCGATCGTCAGCATGACTCCGCGGTCACAGCGCGATCGTCGTCATGACTCGTGGTCACGGCGCGATCGTCGTCATGACTCGCGGTCACGGCGCGATTGTCGTCATGACTCGTGGTCACGGCGCGATCGTCGGTATGACTCGCGGTCACGGCGCGATCGTCGGTAGGACTCCGCGGTCACGGCGCGATCGTCGGTAGGACTCCGCGGTCACGGCGCGATCGTCGGTAGGACTCCGCGGTCACGGCGCGATCGTCGGTATGACTTTTCTCCTGCGTTCGCGGACCTATCGCTCGCAATAATAGCGTTATCGGCACTCGCGAAGCTGAAAAATCGCCGATGATTGGACCAAATCCCGTCCCGAAAAATTCCCGAGTCAAATGTAATCCCGTCCCGATAATCGGGAATATTTTTTTCCCGAAAAATTCCCGAAATTTCGGGACCCGTCCATCCCTAATCTAGAGTATAGGTTGAAATTGACCCGAGCTTGGCTATACTATCAACATGCTTCTGTGATCTCCATACTACCCATTACATTTTATTCTGAACCTCTTTAAATAAACACACTTTTCATTACTTCACGGGAAGTAAAAAAAAAACTATTAATGCATTACACTTGATCATAAAGAAACCAGTGACTGAGAGAGGGGATGAAGTATTAAGCCTTGCAAATAACAAACAATTTCTGTGAAAAAATAAAGTCTGGACAGCTCCAAACAATGTTTTGTCTAAGGTGATGCAATGTTAATAACAACATTTATTTTAAGCCACGCTACACTATTTTGACGAACTTCCAACGCAAGAATTTAGTCCAGAAAACAGCTGTTTGCCGCCAACTTAATCAAATGGGGTTTCATTGCGTACTACTGTACTGTAATGAGTTTTACCGGACATCAATCAGCTGATTATACTGTATTTGGGTGACAATGAGTAGTTATAAACAAAAAAATAACCTCTCTTAGAGGTTATGACTAGTGGTTTTTAGTTGGTGGTAATGTATAAGGATTTGTACAGATTTAGTAGTATGGCGTAAACTATCGTACGTCACTCGTCCAAAATGTGTTTACCGGACTCGTATGGTAATCCCATACACTCGTCCGGCAAACACTTATTTTCAGGACTAGTAACGTAATATACTATTTCCTACCATTATGAAACCACAATGCTGACTATTTTCAGTAGTGAATGAGTTAAAAATCATGAAGCTTCATAAATAACTAGCAGTGAGCCCATTCTATGGACAAGTAGTCAACTGATGTTGTTTATTCATCAGCGAACTATAGTAACCATTGGCCACTATGATGTGTTTTAAAGTTTTTACTTCATAGTTGTAATCAGACTCTGTATGATGGAGAGAAAACAGTGAGCATAACTAATGTACCTAGCAGTTTTATGGTTAAGTGAAATGTCTGATCTATGGTAGTTGGATTTCTGTAGGTTTTAAAATGCAACTGACCATTGCTTCTTGTTATAGTGACTTCTAGAAAATTGCTTCTTCTATTTTAAGTGTAAATTGTAAGCTCTTGTGGATTCTATTTAAGTATACATGGAATAGGTTGATTTGAGGGATGTGCAAAGCAGCAAAAAAAATTCAATTCGAAGCGACGATTTAATTCAAAAGAGTTTTGATTTGAATCGCTGCAGCTTGATTTGAAGCAACATGGTATTTATCTGTTCATACTTGCCAATGGAGTGAAGTAAAAATAATTAAAATTTAAATTTACGACATTTGTGTAATGAAAATTTTTTTTAAGTGTTGTATTAGGCCTATTCATACATGACATATATGACTTAAAAAATATATTTATTTTAAATCATATATGACGTTACTCAATCTGTAACCTTATACGTTATTAAATCTGTATCCTTATACGTTATTAAATCTGTATCCTTATACGTTATTGAATCAGTATCCATATATGTTATTAAATCAGTATCCATATACGTTATTGAGTCAATATCCATATACGTTATTGAATCAGTATCCATATACGTTTTTGAATCAGTATCCACCTTATTGAATCAGTATCCATATTAGTTATTAACTCAGTATCCATATACGTTATTGAGTCAGTATCCATATACATTATTGAATCAGTATCCATATACGTTATTGAATCATTAACCATATACATTATTGAGTCAGTATCCATATAGGTTACTGAATCAGTATCCATATACATAATTGAATCAGTATCCATAATATACGTTATTGAATCGTATCCATATACGTTATTGAATCAGTATCCATATACGTTATTGAATCGTATCCGTATACGTTATTGAATCATTATCCATATACGTTATTGAATCGTATCCATATACGTTATTGAATCAGTATCCATATACGTTATTGAATCAGTATCAATATACGTTATTAAATCAGTATCCATATACGTTATTGAATCAGTATCTATATACGTTATTGAAACAGTATCCATATACGTTATTAAGTCAGTATCCATATATCAATGCATTTTCGATGCATCGCACATCCCTTATTGATTTGTTTCTTGTTATTGTTAAATAGGACACCGTTAATTAAATAAAATATTGTATTTTGAAAAAGACTAGGTGACATTTAATTTCTGTTTAGTTTTTTATGATGCCTACTTTAAATTAGATAACTCTACATTATAACATATAATTTAATTTTGAAAAGGTTTGTGACAAATTAACCTAAAATATGGCATTAGCCTACATCAAATTCATTACATGAAAAATCTTTGCTCAAAAAAAAGCTCAAAGCTCTATTTCAATCAATAATAAGAAATAAATAATAAATAATGATTACAATAAAATACTGTAGCCACGTGGAAGTGTAAATTCTTCCCTTAAAATTCCTAATACAAACTCCAACTGTATGTTGTTTAGAAGCATCGGTCCTGTCTTTACTAAGCCAAATGTAGCACTCTAATCCAAGTTGGTACTGCAACCAGGTAATGCCCATAAAAGGCATTGGTTTTGGTTTACTATATGACTCATTGGTCTGAGTTTGAGCCTTCAGCCCTACAGTCACACAGTGGATGACTGGTCTGGGATCTGTCTCCTCACCAACCAGTGCAAACAAAGGTCACTCCTTACAGAAGACTAGCATGCCACCTAATACACGTTGGATCTGAGATTAAAAATTTGTTTTTGTAATGCATGTCAAATAAATCAATCAGCCAAAATGTAGTGTTTGTACCAGTTTAGATAGCAGAATTTAGGTTGGTTCCTTTCATGTTGCAGGTTTTTGAAATGGGTAGATATTTACGTGCCAGCCATTTATCTTACCAACCAATTAAATTTTACTACAGTCTAATTGGACATACGGGAGGATGATATTCACCAGACCATTAACAAGACTGTAATATACAAAGACCTTGTGTGTTCGCTTCCTCAAGAGCAAACAACTAGATGCCATCAACCAGAGACATCTACTGTCAACTTAGTTGACATTTCAGCCTTTTCTATAACCTCAACAAAATCTTATGTATAAATACTCTAGAGAGTGCTTATTAAATGTTGCATGATTATACCATACTGTATAAACATTGGCCCTAAGTTTAATAATCGTCCTATTTACTGAGGAAAAAACTGTATCCTATAAATTAAAATAAATTCTGTAATTATGTGACATACACTTTGGTATGTATTTTTAGCTGAATAAGAATGAAGAGTGGGTGTAGAATGAAGTGAAATGATCTGTTACTGACTAAGACCAGCTGTCTCTCAGCCATGACCATTTATTTAAAGTCCAATGATAAAGACACAAGATTTTACCTTAAAGTGTTCTAGACTTACAGTCACAGTTTGTTTCTAAATGGGATACCTGCTGAAGTATGTGCACATTTTGTAGTTACATTGGATATACTCACAGATTTAATATTAAATTACCTTTGGGCCTAGTGAATGGCCAGAGAGTGTGAGTGTCAACCATTTATAGTGGTACCAGGCTCACTGTATATGTGTCTAGTTAATAGGCCTAAGCTGCATGGGTTTCCTAGTTAATAGTAATAATAGTAATAATCAATCTTTTTAGTAATGAATCTACAAAAAAGAAATATAAAATTTTTAATAAACGTGGGGGTACCCATACCAGGCCCACTTTATCCCCAACAGATGTAAGAAACTCAAAAACTTAACTTTTTAAAATTATATTTATTTTGATGAACTTACTCATTTTGATTATTTGGGAGATTGATGCTCAATTTGCTTCCAAATATTTGTATAGGCTCAGTAACATTGTACTCAAGTGGAGTGCCAGTTGCATCATCAGTTATCTCTGTAATGTGAAGATTGCTGCTGTCAAGATCCTAAGAAACAAGATAAATGTTATACAAAGAATAAACCGTCTTATTTATCAAATTGAGAAGGCCTACCTGTAATCAAATTCAAAACTGTGGAAAATATTAGAATAGTACTTCATTCATACACACATTTATAACAAGATAATTAAATTATAATAGATTTATTATTTTAAAATGCCTCAGTAAATTAATTTAGACAACGATATACTTGCGGCTGTATATTTTTAAACTGAATATGATATGAATGCAGGGTTGATAAGGCTTACAGAATGAGTAGGATTAATTGTGTTATCTTGTTACCAATTAAAGGCTGGCGCACATAGAGACACACGGACTAACTCAGACGGTGGACTAAAATTCACTCCCCATGTTGTCAAATGTGACAACGAAACAGCAGTCGGATTTTTTGGAATCGCCTCTCGGGCGATTTTTGAAAATCCTCCTGCAGACCTTATCTGCTGTGCATGCGCAAAGAGGGCTTTTCAACGTTACTTCTACGCCTTGCCACTAGGTGCGCTGTGGTTTGTTTACTCAGGGTGTCCAGCCGACCTGGTAACCAATAATTGTACGTAATTTTGATATTATAAAAATCTGGAAATTTTTTAAAGAATCAGGAAATTTAATGTTTGAATAGCAGCCGAAAAATCTGACAGATTTTCTCCTTTTGCATATTTGGAAATTGAAAATCAATTGTGGGGGAAATATGCTCGCAAGAAATTATCACCAGCCGTTTCCGCGATCACGGTAAATCATCACGAGTTTCGCCGAAATCGTAAAAAATCAAGTATGTTGCTGTTATTACGACAGACTTTCACAAATTTTTCTGCGATCGTATGAGACGCTTACAAAATTACTAACTGTAATTCGGACGTTTTAGCGATAGCAAGTAATGATCACAACCGTTGCCGTGAAATCATCATGCTTACATTTTTGAAATATTATTTTGCAGTGTTTTTCCCAATGTTTTAATTAGACAAAAAATGTCTGGAGATAACATAAACTAACAACTCGGTTCATTTTAATCAAAAATTTACCTTCATAATCTTACCTAACTTCAAAACACCTTATACAGCCTCGAATCAACATAAAGAACGACCTCCCATCCTAACATGCCTAAAAAGGACTTGGTGTAAGTGGTCAATCAGCCCATTTATATCCCTGTAATGATACAACAAATTCTTTAAGGGAAACATTATTAACTAATGAATCACTTAAGACGTGTTTCTATAGTCAATGATTTTAATCAACGATAGGCTATTCTTAAATCTTCCCATCATTTCTCAACTTGCTTCACTTATGTTAGCAGTGAGCATCGATGTATATAACCTAACTGGATCGCGCCGTGCAATGAGAGTACAGCGCTGAAAACGAGCCGGCCCTCAATAGGCTCTCCCCACTACAAGTGGGGTACCGGTATCACCCACGCAGCGCCGGAGACTGACTACTGACTTGTGCATTGACTTCGGAGTTTAAATGATACATGTTGACCTGTCGGATTTAAATGATCATTGGCTCAAATGAAAGCCACTAATTTAATAAACAATAATATACCAAATGCTATAAACTAACTGGAATAGAACTGGAGTTGTGTATCGTTGATTAAAAACAAAACCTGAAATATTTTTTTTATTTTTCGTTGTTTGGAGGCTCACAGTTTAGAAAGAATCTTGTCCGATTTGAATAGCTAATATAGCTCAAATTAAAGCCCATAATTTACTGAAAATTTTTAGTTTGAAACATATAAAAAAACATGAACAATACTGGAGCTATTGATTTTTAATCATTAAAAGGCGCCTTATACAATGGAGAAAGTCATTGAATAAATATTCATACTTACAGTAGACTCCCTCTAATGCGGTCACCTTTTAATCGGACATCGGTTTAACCGGACTACACTCGGCGGAAATGATATCTCTTTAACCGGACAATTTTTATCAGCACATTGGTTTAACCGGACTAGATTGGCAGGAAGTGGGCAGTACTGAAACGACTGTTCTCGTGGGAAAGATTTGAGACCAGTGATCACGTGTCTAAATACAATGCTCTCCTAAATTTAAGTTTAATATCACAGTAAACAGTCCGTTTTAACGAGTTTTTGGGGACGTCGGTTTAACAGTAAAACCCGTTATCCGGACTGGCCTCGGACCCGAGGAGTCCGGTTAAGAGGGAGTCCACTGTAAAATGTATTTATATCTAGGGTAGTTTAAAGTACTTTATACTTGACACTATTTTTGTACCCATGTACATGTAATCTAAAGAAGTAAAGCAGTGCAGTTCTAAGTTGGGTACCGTACTAAATGTTTTGGGAAACAGCTAAAAACATTCCTAACGGAAGGGGAATTCTCCAGATTCCAGGACTTGCTGTCTGCCTGATTTCATTAGCATAGCATTATAATTTATTTGTTAACATCTTTTATAGGATAAATAGGATAATTTATTAATTGTTTGATTTAAGCACTGAGTTTTAAACTGTCTTTGACGGTTTGAGATGTGCACTGTAGGCTATTTGTACTCTATTCATGAAAAACATATGTCTTGTAAGAAAGGGGATTAACCCCGTACCCACGGTGCTCATCTATGCAGACACTCTGTTCACATTACACTTAGTCGACCAGTTGGTGTGAACAGAGTTGAACAGTAGCATGAGCATCGATTTACAAATTCCTTTCCCAGCTGATGTGAGCTAGGCGATGACCGGTAGGGCTGACTTCCAAGAAACACCGTTAACCTATAAGCCACACACCCTATCGGTAATCAGCCAATGAGAAGGGCTAATGAAGAAGATGGAGGGGTGACGAGTCTTGGAGCTGGAGGATCTGAAGGAAAACATCGAAGAGATCACCACGGGCCACCGGAGAAAGAAGATCGGGAGTTTGGGAGTGCGTGTATCGGTGTGTGTGCTTCTGGGACAATAGACAGTATGTAGAAAGAATAAAATATCTAACTAACACTTTGTCAAATATAAAAGTCATATAATTTGTCAGTAACTAATTCTTTTATATTTTCAATTGATTTTCTTTTCTTGTAAATTTAACGTTGTAAATTAATTTATCTTATTATTGTTGTTTTTTGCCTTTTCTAAGTTTTCTTTTGCTGTTGTAACTTTGTTACTTTTGTTGTTTTTCTAAATTTAAATTTTTTGTTCATTACACGTTGAGTAACACCCTTAAGCAGTCTTATGTCTCATTAACCTAACACCTCTTGACTAAGCTAAGCGAGTGAATCATTTTAGGAAACTTAAACTTAAAGTGAGGCATGGGACTCGCATGGTGGAGGCAGCCGCACGGCGAAGGCTGTCTTTGCATTTTAACTAAACAGTAACGATCCTACATTTATTTCAATAAATTATCTTGAAACAAATTATATGACTTGTGAATTATTTTAGTTTATTTATAGTCAATTATAGTCACTTAAGTTAATATCAGACTCACGAATCGTTAAATGTATAGGGTGTTAGTTTAAGATAAAACTTAAAGACTATGAACAAAACAATATAGGCCACAAAATCAAATAAAAACACGTATCTTAGTTAGGCCCATAACCTTAATAAAACCCCCAAATGTAACAATAGCGTATGTAGGTTTGTCACATTACTAAAACTTAAAAGATAATTTATGGATCTAGATTTTGAAATTGTTAACATTGACATATATAGCTTAAACAAAACTGAGGCTTTACAACTAGCTTGTCAATATAAAATACAACTCCCACCCATCCCTGAAACCGAAACCCTAGCCAACCTAAGAACAAAATTAGCTTTCACCAAAGATGTTTTCAAGACTGCATTTAGACATCCAAGTTTTGCTGAGGCATTAACAGACTTGTTCTTTAACAACAAACTAGAAGACAAAACAAAAGAACAGTTTAGAGATTTGCTAAAATTCAAGAAAATCCTTCAAGAACCAACATATGATACTATAAACACTTCTGACGACCTAACACAACCTAAACCTGAACATTCACAAAACCTTTATGAAAACAGGTCAATAATAGAACACGAACAATTGTTACATAGCTTTAATTCGTTAAACTTAAATCAAGAAACCCATCAAAATCACAACCAACCAGAAACCCCTAACACATCAACACAAATAGCATCTCACCCTAAATCATATATAACCAACAAAAACATGGCTGATGAGTCAAAAGAGAAACTTCCCCTAATAAAAGCAGGCACATACTCAGGTCTTCCTTCAGAAGATGTACATGAATTTATTCAAAAATTCAATATTGCATCAAGGTGCAACCATTGGTCCGAAAAAACTAAAATTGAACTTTTCCCCACACACTTAACGTCTACCCCGTATAAATGGTTTGCACTCTACAAACATGAAAACAATGAAACTAGTTGGGCAAACCTAGAGTCTGAATTTATTAAAGCATTCAGCCCAGTTGCATTAATTGATGACTTACAGACGGTCCTTGAAAATCGAACACAAGGAGAAAATGAATCTCCAATGCAATTCCTATACGAAATCATTCACCTTTCCCACAGAATAGATCCCAATATGAATGATGCAAAAATAATAAAATTCGTAATTCAGGGAATAAAACCGGAGATTTGTAATGACCTAGTGAGAATGGAAAACAACTCACTTAAACAGCTAAACGAAAATCTGCTAAAAATTGAATCTCAAAGAGCTATTAGGAATAAAAATCAGAGAAAATACCAAACCTCAGCTGAACGCGTTACCCTAATAAAACCTAAACCAAAATCGGTAACGTATGAAACTGACGAATTAGACAACTTAAAATTAGAACTTAGGGACATAAAAGATACATTATTAAGCCTCAAGGTCAAACCTGATGAAACAAACTACCCTAGGGACAACCCACACAAAGAAACTTATCATCGTTCAAGATCCACACAAAGAAGAGACATTTCCCCTCATCCCAGATATGACAGGTCAGCTGAAAAATATAGGCCCAGAAGCACTTCTCGAAACTCACAAAATTTATCGAGAAGCTCTTCACCTCA